AGTTTTATACCGTTAGGCATTTAAACATCATTATGCGTTCATAAAATCGGCACACCGACATCCGACAAACAAGTCGATTTAGCACAACCCTAATCTACAATCAATTCCTCTATAAATCAGGCGAACAAAATAACAAGTTAACGTCGGTATGAACCGAGCAAGTATTGATAACTTCTCTGGAGCCCGCGGCCTTCTTATGCATAAACATTAGTTAAGTCAGTCAGTCCTACTTAACCTTATATTTATACAACAACTTGTATGTGCTGATTGCGTTACATACAATTTATGCGAGCTGTAGATATGTCAAGAAATGCAGCCAGTCTGAATACAATTAGAAGATTGTTATACATGTTGTTATGTGAGGGTAGTCTTCATCGTGAACATTCGACATGCTCACTTGTTTAACTTCAGTTCAACAAGTTTGTTCGTTTGGATCGTTCGTTGTGTTAATGTGTGCGTGTAAGATTGTCGTGTGATTGTGCGTGCGTGTGTGTGTGTGTGTGATTTTTATGTGAATATGTGTGTGTCTGATCAGAGTGAGTGAGTATGTTTGTTTACATATGTTTATGTGGTGATAACAAATGCATGTAAGTATGTTAGTAGTTTATATGTCTGTACAAATTTTTATATATCACTGTTAAGTTGATTCGGGTGTGCGTTTTGCATGTATGGCCTGCGGGTATACATGTATTGGTGTGTAGCGTGTGTGTTGGTGTGTGCGTGTGTGTTTGTTGGTGTGTTGTGGATGTTCTTGGTATAATATAATCTTGTAGAATAATTTTTATATCCATATAAATAAGTTTTATCTTCAAGTTCGGTGTGCGGTTAAGGCTGTTCATATTTTTTCTTTCTCACGTGCGCACATGCATGTGCGTCTGTACGTGAATCTCCTCCGAAGACTTGTTTGGCGATGTGACAGTGGTGCGTTTTTGACCGATCTCTATAAGGACCGATTTATAATTGAATTCAATTGGCAGCGTCGTCTTACGTCATTGTTAGGCATGTCTGTTTCATGTAGGGCCTTATTAGAGGATGTCAGTCTCATTATCATCCTACCATGCTGTAGTTTCGTTATCAGTGGCATTACATTTTCTTTATATATTTTTATATATTTCTTGTGATTTTATACTTTGGAATAAATAATCTTTGCTTGGTTTTTTATTTTGTGACGTAGTTTGCTGTTTTGAATGGATAAAAATAAATACATGCACTCTGTCGGTCTGGTTGGTAGACACAATGTTGTTTCATGTGTGTGTGTGTGTGTGTGAGTGTGTGTGTTTGGTGTGTGCGCGTGCGTGTGTGTCTGGTTTTTTGAAGTGGTTGCATGTTGTTGCCGCTGATATGTGATCTTTCATTTATTTATAGTGATTTTTATTTCATTATGGTATGTATGTCTCTAAGGTTTCGTATGCAATGTAGACACACTTATGTGTTTGGGTTCAGAGAATATTTATAACTGCACATATAATTCTAAATGTGAAAGGGCTGATTTTTAATTATTAAAAATATTACAACGTACCAAAAATGTGAATAATTGTTGTACATTCATATTGACTAGGTAGCTCAGACGGTATAAGCGCCATATCTTGCGTTGTTTTTATTATATGAAGACTTGGTTCGAATACCTGACAAACTATGAAACGTCATGTGGTGTGGACGTTGCATGTGGCTCAAAAGTTTGAATATAAATGAGGTAAGATCCGTAATTAGCTCTGCGTTTGTCGTAGTTACGCAATAAAGAAGTTACGCAATGTTGTCTTACCGAAGTTATTATTTATAAAGTTAATGCTATTAAGGATGACGTCATCCAAACAATTCTTCTATGATGACGTGAAAATAAGGACAACATATACAATGATGAGGGCAACGAAATGGCTTCTGTTGCGATGACGAGGATGATAATGATGAAACATACAATGACGTCATCGTCCCAACATAAAAAAAACCTTCTTGCTGCTCCTTAATGGTCCCGATCGCTAATCCTGAACTCTGTTATCATCTTCATCATCAAAACTTTAATCTCTTTTATTAACATCGTTAAGTTGAATATCATGGATGTAATCATCGTCTTAAACGTCATTGAGGTTATTGACATTATTATTATTATTATTATTATTATTATTATTATTATTATTACTGACATTATTATCACATTATTAAATTTGTTATGACTATCGTTATTATTATTACTGTTAGCGTATATGTATTTATATATAAATATATGTATATGTATATATGTTTGTGTGTGTGTGTTTGTGTGTGTAAGTATCAAT